CAAAGAGAAAATCCGTTCTATGTCGACACAGTCAGAGACTTCCGTGATCGACGATATGATTTCAAGGGCAAGCAGAAATCCTGGAAGAACAAAGCCGATAGTTTGCAGTCATCGGGCGGTTCAGCCGCTGAGATTGATGAGGCGAAGAAAATGATTATTCTGTACGATTCTCTTCAGCTTGCACACAAGGTCATTCTCAACAGTTTCTACGGATATGTAATGCGAAAGGGCTCTCGGTGGTATTCCATGGAAATGGCCGGTGTCACTTGCCTGACAGGCGCTCACATCATTCAGATGGCGAGAGAGCTTGTGGAACGCATCGGTCGTCCCCTGGAATTGGATACTGACGGTATCTGGTGTATGCTTCCGGGAGGATTCCCCGATAACTTCTCCTTCACCCTGAAAAACGGGAAGAAATTGGGTATCTCATACCCCTGTGTCATGCTCAACCACCTCGTCCATGCAAGATACACCAACCACCAGTACCAGGCGCTTGTTGATCCGAAAACTTTCAAGTACGAGACTCACAGTGAAAATTCCATCTTCTTCGAAGTGGATGGACCGTACCGGGCAATGATTTTGCCAACGTCGAAGGAGGAAGACAAGAACCTGAAGAAACGATATGCAGTCTTCAATCATGATGGTTCTTTAGCTGAACTCAAGGGATTCGAAGTTAAGCGAAGAGGAGAGCTGAAGTTGATCAAGATCTTCCAGACGCAGCTCTTCAAATTCTTCCTAGAGGGCTCCAATCTTGCTGAGACCTATGCCGCTGTGGCCCGAGTTGCGGACCGGTGGCTAGACGTTCTATACGAACATGGAACGACATTGGCCGATGAAGAGCTGATCGATCTCATTTCGGAAAATCGAAGCATGTCCAAAACCCTGGAGGAGTACGGCTCCCAAAAGTCCACATCCATCACGACGGCAAAACGCCTGGCAGAGTTCTTGGGTGAACAGATGATCAAAGACAAAGGCCTCAACTGCAAATACATCATCTCATCACGCCCACGGAATACACCTGTCACTGAAAGAGCCATTCCTGTGGCTATATTTTCGGCCGAAGAGAACATCAAGCGATTCTTCTTGCGCAAATGGCTGAAAGAGGATCCTGGCGATATGGACCCTCGAACTGTGATCGATTGGGACTATTACCTAGAGCGCTTGGGATCCGTGATCCAGAAGTTGATTACCATTCCAGCCGCGCTTCAGAAGCTTCGAAACCCAGTGCCCCGGGTTGCCCACCCCGATTGGTTGCAGCGTCGGATCAACACAAAGGATGACAGGTTCAAGCAAAAGAAGATGACTGATCTATTCACCAAGTCTGAGAAGACGCCACTTTCCTCGACAAACGCGAATATCCTAGACCATCGGGTTCAGCACGCTGGCGACTTAGATGAAGCAATCGCGGGCTCGACTCAAAAAACGAAATCGCCCAACAGCAAGGTTGCTCAGAAGAGAAAGCATCCAGAAAATGCTCCGAAGACAGCTCTTGACCCCTTCGCTAGCCTTCCAGCAGTCATGCCATCGATGTCGGAAAACTACGAAGGATTCCTCAAGTATCAGAAGCAAAAATGGAAGATCCAAAAGCAAGCACGGGTTCGCCGTCGTCAGCTGTTTGGCGAACGAACCAACATTGCTTCAGATTCGTTGGGTAACTTTTTCCGCAATCAAGCTCAAATGCTGTACATCAGCACATGGCAGGTCTTGCAGCTTTGCGACACGGGCGTCCCGGGAGTTGTGCGAGCTTTTGTACTGATTGACCAAAAGATCCATTCCCTCAGCGTTAGAGTCCAACGGCAATTTTTCCTGAACTTGAAACGGGACTCTTTGCCGGACATTGACGTGCCAGATTGTGAAGTCGAGAAGGTCAACCATACCCTACCTAACGGACATCCCTCAGTTTACTTGTTCAAGCTGTCTTTGTCTGAAGAGAAATATCTAGAAGAAGCCGAAAAGATGGATATTCTCTTCCAGCACCCTAGCGTTGAGGGGGTTTACGAGGGAAACATTCCGCTAAGCACTCGAGCGGTGCTCAAGCTAGGAAGCCATTGTACCTTTGATGAACAGCAACGTGGTGTTCTAGGTGACGGCTTGGACAAGGGCTTCGACCTTTCAACATTACTTCACACATCCTCTGACCAGCCCTATCTGACAGACTCGTCATTAGTGTTCCACTACCTATATCACATTGTCTCTGGAGATAGACAAATCTTCGCAATATTCTCGACATCCAAGAAAGAGGCGCACATCATCGTTCTCAACCGCACAAGAGATGTCCAGGGCCTTCCCAATGTGGATAAAATCTACACCGAGCTTCTCGCACGTAAGATGCAAGCCGCATCGGGTGATGAGTCGCAGCATGCGTTCGATTACCAGGACAAGATTCATTTCAAAACTACCCAGGTGATGACACGAAGGAAGGCTCACCTTGAGGTTGGTGATCTGATCAGGAAGATTCGAAATGATGAAAATCAGCCTGCCGTTCTTGTCATTCAATCCCAACAAAAAGACCGCCTATGTCACGACATACCGATCTTGAAGGAATATCCAGTATTATCCGTGAAGCCCGAAGCGTCGGACATGGAACTTCCACCACTGGGCTGGCAAGCATTTGTTGCAAGACGTCTCGTCACGCGCTATCTATACTTGTCTTCGTGGATTCAGCACTTGACCATGCTCGCTCGGTTTGGTGACGTTCCGCTTTGCAACCTGGAAAATGAGGATCCTCGATACCTCATCGATATCTCGTATGCCAGGCGGCTTCAACAGAACAATGTTGTGCTCTGGTGGTCATCCGGCCCACGTCCTGATCATGCGGGCTACGAAAGGGATGACATTCTAGGTGCTTTGGACAAGGTCAACATGCCATCTGTCAATGTACCAGGTGCTTACTCCACAGTGTGCATTGAACTCGAGGTTCGCAATCTGTCGATCAACACAATTCTGACGTCTTCTATCATCAATGAAATGGACGGCAGTGATACGCTACTGGCACCCTCTGGGGACGGTGAAGACACTGGTGTTTTCTATTCAGAGAAAGCATTTGCCTCTGCCGGTGTTGTCGTCCTCCGAGAGATGGTAAAACACTGGTGGACAGAGGCCTGTGCAGGAAACAATATGGCCGATATCATGGTCCAACATCTGATCCGATGGGTGGAAAGCCCTGTGTCCTGCCTCTATGATCGGTCTCTGCACAACTATGTGCGATTAATGTCACGGAAGTCATTCCAGAGATTGATGGCAGAGTTCAGACGTGTTGGCTCCCATGTCATCTTTGCCAGCTCTACACGCCTCCTTCTCCAAACGACCAAGACCGAGGTTGGCAATGCCTACGCCTACAGTCAGTATGTCCTCAAGTCAATTCGCGCCAACCCTTCGTTCCACTTTATCGATCTAGAGATCAAGGAGTACTGGGACTATCTCATTTGGTATGATGAATACAACTACGGAGGCAAGGGCTGTCAAGAGGTTACCGAGGCCGACGAACAGGATCTCGAAACAGCGATGCACTGGCAGCTCAGCCGTTTCCTGCCAATGCCCATGCAGACTATCTTCCATGACTGGATTGTCGAGTACATCGAGCTGATGCACGGCTTAAAACGGCCGGAACTCCAAGACGGGGATCTGTCTTCAACGCCTCGGCCAACGCAGATTCCCATTGGACGGACCAACGAAGGAGACGACGAGGAAATCACTGCTATTCTCTCGGATCGGTTCTCGAAGCCATTGAAGAAGCAAATCTCGGGGTTGATCCGCAGACAACGCGACGAGATGCTTCATCCTGAGCTTGCATGCGACTATGCCTTCCCCGTTTTGCCAGGAGTCCTAGTCGGCCCCAAGGACAACCGCAACCCATCTTTGGAGTTGACGAAACTGCTAATGCAGGTTCTGAGTTTGTGCAAGACAACGACCCTGGAATCCCGGTTGCTGCGGCGCGAACTTCTTGCCCTTTTCGAGGTCCGAGAATTCAGTAAGGAGGGTCGATTCGAGAACCCTAGCGCTAGCCTGAAGCTCCCAGAAATGTCCTGCAACTCCTGCTGTCTGATTCGAGATCTCGATCTCTGTCGCGACGAAGATGTGCTGCCTGAAGCCAGCTCAGAAGCCAGCAATTCTACCCAGCCCTGGCGATGCCCCTTCTGTCACGCCGAGTACGACCGATTGGCTACTGAAGAATTCCTCATTGGCCAAGTCCATGGCTTTGTTATTGAATGGCAGACACAGGATATCAAATGCTCGAAGTGCAGTGGTCTTAAGGTCAGTGATTTCATGGAGCACTGTTCTTGCAGTGGCGCATGGACTGCGACAGTTGATCGAAATGAGATCGAGAAGAAACTACAAGTATTGGAGAGCGTGGCCAAATTCCACAAGCTACAACTATTGGAGCACATTGTCGAGGAAGTGCTGGAGCGATTTTGAATGTACTATTTTTCTTTGATTTTTCTTTCTTATTGCATTGGGCTGGCGTTGAGTCGGTGAATGTAAATAGCCAACTGGGCAGGAATGCCTCTCCAATAATCGCGCCGTTGGTCCCTTTTTATTTCGGCCTTTAATTCAACTTCCTATTTTCTTCCTGTTTTCTGTTTCAGCTGCCAACGCTGTTGGGGTTGAGTTGTTTAATAGTTTCATCTGAGGTTTCAGCCCATAGCCCCGCCAACGATTCCCCAGGATCTTCGACCTCAAACCCCCCGCAGCCCTTCGGAAAGCATCACGATAAAACCAGTTGGGAATACCATAATCCCAGGTGTAATCAGCCCTTGTCGCCCAACTGTGAGTATTCTTTGCGCAGTCTCACACTGGGTATTCGCGCTGGTCTCCTGCTCCGCTTTACAGCAAGGCTGACTTTAGATTGCGCAGGTACATAAGGCAGGCGTATAGCCATCGCGTCCGCGAATCGAACCCTTCTAGCATCGCGCTCAGTCCTTCACTCCCGCTTTACGTCGCACGACTTTTTATCCTCCCCACAATCTGCATCGCGCATCCCGCACTTGGTTTTATTCGCAATGGCGGCACAACCCCCGAGCGGTCAGAAGCCGAAGGTCCAACCGTGCCGATACAAGACCGGGAAGACACTGGGCGCTGGTTCCTACTCTGTTGTAAAGGAATGTGTGCACATCGATACCGGTCGCTATTATGCGGCGAAGGTCATCAACAAGCGTCTCATGTCCGGGCGGGAGCATATGGTGTGTGCTGGGAGAACTCCAACTGCGGAGACAAGAGCATGACTGACGTCTTCGAAATATACAGGTCCGGAATGAGATCGCAGTACTGAAGAAGGTGTCGCTGGGCCACCAGAACATTCTCACGCTGGTCGACTACTTCGAGACTATGAACAACTGTGCGTTTCGCTCCTGGATGATAGCTCCAATCGCGTCCCCACTGACAAGTGATGCTGTCTAGTATATCTTGTCACCGATCTCGCGCTGGGTGGAGAACTCTTTGACCGCATCTGCCGCAAAGGCAGCTACTACGAGTCGGACGCTGCAGACCTTATCCGCGCAGTGCTCTCTGCCGTGGCCTATCTGCATGACCATGGGATCGTGCACCGTGATCTGAAGCCGGAGAACCTGCTTTTCCGCACGCCAGAAGACAACGCCGATCTGTTGATTGCCGATTTCGGATTGTCGAGGATCATGGATGAGGAGCAGTTCCACGTCCTGACCACAACCTGCGGAACGCCAGGATACATGGCACCAGAGATCTTCAAAAAGAGCGGTCACGGCAAGCCAGTGTAAGTTATATCATTGCGATTTTTTATGGCTTACTAACAAGCATCCCCTTCCAGCGACATCTGGGCCATAGGCGTGATCACCTACTTCTTACTATGCGGATACACGCCCTTCGACCGGGACTCCAATCTCGAAGAGATGCAAGCAATCCTAGCAGCAGACTATTCCTTCACGCCGCTCGAGTACTGGCGTGGTGTGTCGCAGGAAGCGCGTAGCTTCATCAACAGCTGCCTGACAGTCAACCCGAAGTCACGCATGACAGCTCACGAAGCTCTCCAGCACCCGTGGGTCAACCTGGCCTCCGATAGTGGCAAGGTGGGCTCGGGCGAAGATCTGCTGCCAACGGTCAAGAAGAACTTCAACGCGCGCCGCACGCTGCATCGTGCTATCGACACCGTGCGGGCTATCAACAAGCTCCGCGAGGGCGGCGGCTTTATGATGGATGGTGTCTTGAGCGTTGATCCCAAGCCTGAGCGTGTCAATGGTGACGAAATCATCGAGGAGAAGCGCAATGCTCCTCCGCCTGCGTCGGCCAATGCTGGCGAGGCTCAGATGCAGATTGACAGTCGTGGTAATGCACGTGGGCAGACTGAGGAGCAGATCCGGGCCCAGGAGCGGAGAGTTAAGGAGATGGTTGCTGGTTTGTGGAGCCGTACTCCGCGTTAGGATGCATGGATATGTATCCTTGGCTTTTGTCTATGCCGTGTTTCATCCGTGTGGACGTTCGCATTCGGGTTTGGGAGAATGACTGCCTGCTCTGCTCGGTCTGGGGTTTTTCCTTTGCTTGGGTCCTTTTCAATGTGTCTGCATATCGCACCATTATCAATACAATGAATTATGCCAGTGTTTATAATCAATAATGCTCGAATGAGTCTCGGTTTGAGATGCTTGTTCACTATCTTTATAGAGCTGAGATGCCATATTAAATTCTCATGACTGTGAACGCCCGCACAATTACCATCCCTTATTAATGCCCGTGCCGAAAAGCAGTGAACCCAAAACTCACAGAGAAAAAAACAGTAGCATCATGGTCATTATAATCATCAGTCCCACTCGAAGCGTTGAGATGTGGCACGAAAAGCAAAGCGATCTAAACATAAATTCCAATCAATCCGCGCCTTCCAGGATCTCCTCCCCATCATCTAGAGAGAGGACCCACTCCCGCCATTCCTGCCACTCCGCATAACTAGCGCTTGCCTTGAGGCCCTGATATCTGACAGTACGGAAATCCGACACCTGGTCCCAAGGCTTAGTGGCGCTGGAGTTCCCACCAGCTGCACCACGTAGCAATCTCCGTGCTGTACTACCGCCACCACCATCCCAACCCGCCTTGCGCATCAAGCTCTCCACGGTCTCTTCTTTGGTCCAGCCCTGCTCAACAGCGACGTCAGGGAGATAAGTAGCGCCGTAGCGACGGCCGCGGTGGATGAATGAGATCCGCAGCCCGTGGGTGCCGAGAGACCAGTCCATGGCATTTGTACACGGCTCGAAGGTTCCAAGGAGAGTGAGGGAGCATGATAGGGAGGGGAGAAGGGATCTGGGAATGGGTTCAAAACGGGTATCATCGAAGGCCCTAAAACATTATCACGTGTGGGTTAGTTAATATATAGATAGGAGTATACCGTTGTTTGTAGCGTTGTAGTGAGGGAGGGGTATTCAATGGGAACACGTACGAGGTCAAAGCGTAGGACTTCAACCCCGCTGCAAGTTCCTGCCCCTCGAATGTGCCTATGCACCCGCGTAGAGACTTGTGTCCGCTTCGTGACAGGGTATTCCATGTCACGAACAGGGGATATCGCTGATCAGGCGAACTCAGCTGGGGGGTCCCGGAAACCGCACTTGGCGTGGTGATATTGGTTGAGCTCGATTGTAACGAGTTGGAAGAAGTATTGGATGCGGAGGACGAAGATGTGGCTGCACTGGAAGAGGCGGAAAATTGGCTCTGCAGACGACTGATGCGGGGGAGTAGCTTCTTGGGCTGACTACTCGATTGGGACGATTGGTTGCTGTCGTCATCTTTGTCCTGTGCATTTACGGGCTGCTGTTGGTCTGTATCTTCCTCTTCAATTTGCTCTTCAAGACTCGATAACTTCTTAGTTTGCTCGTGCTGTTCCCATAGGGCCTCTACAGCTGCCAGAGTGGTGGGCTCGCGCTCCTCGAATGAAGCAAGGAGAGACTCAAAGCAATAGTAGCACTGAGCTGTATTCGCCATGTTGGGCAAGGTCCTGTTTCTCTTGGTTCACCAGTGACTTCTTCGAGATGCACTGCACTGTTTCGGGTCCTTCAATCACAGGTTGGTGTAAGTATATGCCCTCCGTGAGGGTCCGGGCGATAAGATCGTCCTTATCGATGGGGCCTGGAACTCCAAGGAGGGGCTAAATTTAGAGGCAGGCTGTAGAAGAGTGTAAGGCAGTGCAGAAACGGAAAGTTAAAGGGCAAGAGACAGAAAAGGAAAAAGCAGAAACAAACCAGGGGACAAGAAGACAAGAAGAGGAGTCTCCAAGGTTGCGGAGAGTTATCCGTCAGCTCACGTGGATCTTACGGCAGTCTAGTACAGCTCGGATGCTGCCTGCACTATACCATGTAGTATATACTCCATGTAGTATTTTATATGAGAAGTCTATTTACAAGTACTTGGACCATGGACATTTCTAGTCTTGTCCTTCACCTCCCCGTTTGAGATTATCGAGGACCCCAGTTGCTAGCATCCGGCTCTCACCGTCTCTAAATCCTCCTCCCAGTTGGCAAATCTATCATCATCTGGATCTTTCCAGTACAGCGACAAATCATTATCGTCTGCGCTGTTATGCACAGTCTTCCCATTTGGGATAGGGATATCAACACCCCCGAGAATCTCTAAGGATCTTGCGTCCTTCTCGCGCATTAATTGGTCAAGTTGAGCATCAATATCCAGATCAGGTTCGAAATCGAAGTATTTATACTCTGTTTCCTCTCCTCGTCCATAAATACGAAGAGATTCGAGGTTAGGCGGCAAATTTTCGGCGAGATTGAAGGCCTCGGCACCAATTCGTCCATTAGCGAATCGGTTCTCGCCGAATCCAACGCCCCGTGCAAAATAACACAGAGTGTGGACGCCTACGCTAAGGTGTTTCAGTCGCGGGAAATCTTTCAACGAGATGCAGGATGGCGGAGTTTCCGGGTCTTGCATGGCCAGTTCGCGGAGCTCATCGGCGTACTCTTCCTCGTAGTCTTCCTGGTCGTCCTCTGTGATGCCGTCGTCCTCCCTCGGCCGAAAAGCAGGATTGTAAAACTCGTGCCGATCTGCATGACTTTCCACATTCAGATCTAGCTCTTCCAGAGTCTCTCGGTGGGACCAGAGGGATCTAAGTAGCGGAGTTGCACTTAGGGTTTGCGGTCCTCCCTCCGGATCCTTGCGCCCGCCCACAGTAAATGTGAAACTCTTCAGTGTTCTAGGCGACTCAATAATTCGACAAAGATCAGATTCAAGCAAGAAAGAGTGCGTAATGCTGATTTTGCTATAGTTGGCGCAGCGCGGCGGGAGAGGAACGCCTGCATTATTGTCCCATGCTGCTAACTTGAAAACGACAGACTCAATAGCGGGGAGTTTTCGAACTAAATTCAGGCGATGGTAGTATGGCTCTGGCACATATTCGGTGCCCTCATTTAGAGAATCATCTGGGTGGAAGTTGACTTTTCGTAGATTTTGGCAGTAGGGAACTGGGCTAGGTGCGTTAGAGGCTCGATGTAGTAGTGCCATAAGCCTATTTTTGGCCCCATGCAGGGGGAACATGGACAATGATTGAAGATTGGGGGCGTTGGCAACTAGCAGTGTAACAAGCGCATCCTTGAACTCGACTGGTTCTGGGCTGCCATCATTCCTGTTTCATGTAAGCTAACTGAATTATAGGAGCATGAACAAAATCAAATGTACCTGAAGTGGGTTGGATCCTGCAGAATGCTAGACAACATAGATTCCCGGTCCTGATTTTCTTGAATGCCGGCCTTATGGATGGCCTGTTTGAGTCTGTCGATATTTTCCGGAGAAAATGGGCGTTGAGGGATAGGTTCGGAGGAGCGACCATACGCACCCGGGCTCATATCACTTCCGTGCATGACCAGATGGTGCAGGTAGTCTGCAAGAGAGGGATCGGCCAACATTTCGAGCAACATATCCTGTATGGCTTGAAGCTGGTCTGTAAACTTCTGTTCACGCCTTTCTCGACCCAACTGCAATTTGTGATACTTCTGCTGATTGGACACCTCATTCATACTATGCAGTCCACGACTTTGCCGCGATAGGGCCACAACATCATCCACGGCAGGGAGATTGTTGACAATTCTGACCAGCACCTCAGGTGGGAGATTCTGCAACAACATCTTCCTGCTTTTCCTGAACAAACAAGACCGAAAAAGGTGGAACATGGCAAGGCTGAGATGGTTGCAAAAACACACGAACCCCTGTGCGGGTTCTATTCTGCCCAGAATGAGCTCCTCCTTAGCACAGACATCCACGCCTAGTTTGATAATTTCCGAATAGGGATTGACCCCGATGTACGACCCTCAACATGTGCTATTTGGCCGATATTAACTAATGGTTGTAAACATAGTCTGACTATAAGGTTATTGTATTCGGACCGGTTCCTGCGAGAATGGGCGCTACTCGTCTCAGACACTCTGCTCGAAGTGGAACCGGGCCTGTGAGTGCTGACCTCCTTCGTTGGCACCTGCGTATATGCCTGTACAAGAACCTAAATGTCAATGTCGAACCAGAGACAATATGGGAGGAGGATCTTGGGGAAGACCCAATGAGCGAAATTCTCAGCTAGCCAGATGCAGCTGAACGAATGGAGGTAAAGCTTTCAAGCGCCTGGGAGGGCTAATAGCGTGATGCATTCATAATCAGAAAATTATTAGAGTAGGAGTCTTAATCAATCAATCTCCACGGAGATGTTTCCGTCGACGCTTGGACTTTTACCAGATCCCCCACATGGATTCATGGATAGAGGCCCGTTCTCTCTGCCATCCATCTAGATTCCTGAACGTAAGGAAACATAAACAAGCCGATAACGGCGCTGCACTGCTACAATGTTTGGGTGGTTTCCGCGGCCACATCGCGCGAGGTATACCTCGAGGTATACAACATAGGGTCAAAACTCAGGCATCACTAACCAGAAAAGGCAATTCACGGGAATGTACGGAGTACCCGTTGACATATGAAAGCCTGGACAATAGAACCGGATTAGGAAGGATAAAACAGAGAAGAAAATAGTCCTTGGATTCTATAGATCCTTGTGTTGAGAACAGATTGTAGAATGTACATAGGACGCCCAATTAATGTTGAACTTTTCCCCTTAGAAATTCATGTGAGCCCGCTGTTGAATAAGTGCGAGGCCCAACCGCCAAAAATAACATTGCTCGTTTCACATGCAAAAAAGCATTCCCATATCCCAATGACCCGCGTCAGGTTGAAAAAGCAGTCCAGTAATTAACCCCTAAAAACGCACCCATGTATATTTTTCTTTTGTTATACGAAATGATGTTGAACTCGTGAGATCCTGATTCAGATCCCTCTGTATTTTTCCGTAACTCATACCCGGTCCTCAATATCCCATTTAAACGGGGAGAGGGAAGGCGCTAGCCCACTGAGCAATCTCCTTGCGGAGAGCATGGATCTCAGGGACGCTGTCATCGGCAACCTTGGCCTTGAAGTCCTTGAGCTTGTTGGCCTCCTTGGGAAGCTCACCCTGGATCTTCTTGCAGAGGGTAATGGACTGATCAATGTAGCGGGCAATGCGCTTAAAGTCCTCCACACCCATACCACGGGAAGACATGGCGGGGGCACCGATGCGGATACCGCAAGGAGTGAGGGCCGACTTGTCACCGGGGATAGAGTTCTTGTTGCAGGCAATGTTGATCTGCTCCAGAACAGCCTCAACACGAGCACCATCAAGGCTCTTGGCGCGGAGGTCAACGAGGACCATGTGGCTGTCAGTGCCGTCCGAGACCAGCTTGTGGCCAAGGGCCTTGAACTCCTCCTCGAGAGCCTTGGCGTTCTTGATGACCTGCTCCTGGTACTGCTTGAACTCAGGGGTGTCAACCTGCTTGAGAGCAACGGCCAAAGCAGTGATAGTGTGGTTGTGGGGGCCACCCTGGTGGCCAGGGAAGACGGAAAAGTTGATAGGGTTCTCCAGGTCGTAAAGGACATCCTTGCCGGTCTTGTCGGTGCTGCGGACACCCTTGCGGAAGAAGATCATGGCACCACGGGGACCACGGAGAGACTTGTGAGTGGTGGTGGTCACAACATCAGCGTACTCGAAGGGAGAGGGAATGACACCAGCGGCGATCAGGCCAGAAATGTGGGCCATATCGACGATGAGGTAGGCGCCAACCTTGTCGGCAATCTCGCGCATGCGCTTGTAGTCAATCAGACGGCAGTAGGCGGAGGTACCGGCGACCAGACACTTGGGGCGGTACATCTCGGCATTACGCTCGAGAGTATCATAGTCGATGATACCGGTCTCAAGGTTGACACGGTAAGGGAAGGTCTCGAAGTAGGTGGAAACGGCAGAGATCTTCTTGGAGGGGGTCTGGTAGCCGTGGCTCAGGTGACCACCGTGGGGGAGATCCAAGCCCATCAAGCGGTCATGGGGACGCATGAGAGCCTGGTAGACCTGAAGGTTGGCGGGGCTACCGGAAAGGCACTGGACGTTGACGCCCCACTTGGCGGGGTCGAGGTTGAATGCCTTGAGAGCACGCTGCTGGCAGGTGATCTCAATAGCGTCGATGTGCTGGTTGCCACCGTAGTAACGAGCACCGGGGTAACCCTCGGAATACTTGTTGCACATGGGCGAACCGAGGGCATCGAAGACAGCACGAGAAGTGAAGTTCTCGGAGGCAATCAGAACGATTGACTCACGCTGACGCTGGATCTCCTTCTCCTGTATGAGTAGAAGAATTAGCACAGCTGAATCTTCTGGCAGGGACAATGCATTGGAATGCAGCTGCCAATGATGTATAGTTTCAACGTACCATGATGGCAGCAACCTCCGGGTCGCTGGACACGAGGGAGTTGTGCATTTGCTGTAATCGATGAGTCAACGATCTAGATGCTAGAAATGAGGGCAGATGTGATACTCACGTCCCGGTGGGATTCAGAAAGAGCGTAAGACATGATGAAGTATGGGTAATCTGTCTTCTAAGATAAACAGAAGAAAATGGGATATGGAGGATGAGAGGTGAAGAGAAGGGGAAAAAATAAATGGAAGGTGGGGGAGGGATCTTCCGTTGCCTCAGGCGCTGAACTTTAAGCCACCGAACGATATCGGAGACAGCTGGCCGGATTAGGGTTTTAGGTTATAAAATTTGTAAGTAGCTACAAATTGCCGAGCTGTACTGGATTGGTTGGAGCTTCAGAACAATGAATTGGTTCAATATTTTTCCTTGGAACGTTCTTCGAGAAAAGAGAAAAGAGAAAATAGATTATGAATTGCTGGACTTGCCACAGCTCATGAAACGATGGCGGCTTTGCTATCTTGAAATGATCGCTGAAAACACCAGGGTATCTCCTTCTTATAAACGCCAAATAAATCAACCCGAAATCCTCCAGCACTGGGCTGACTTGAAATTCCTATTGTGGACTGAAATTCCCGAAGGTTTTAAGCTTCATGCTTCCACGGTCCTCGTATTGTCCTCATGTAGCATTCGCGCTCGACTCCCAAAGTCAGAGATGACAGAGCGCAGCCGTCTCACGCGGTCCTCGAGCTCTGCAATCTCTCTTTGTTGGTCATTGACAGACCGATGCACATCTGGTAGCCCTTCGACGACTGTACGAGCCTTCTGGATTCGAATCCTGACAGAGCTGGTTTCGGTAGGGAGGGTTTTCACATCGAGTGGCGGATGAGCGGTTGAACCGAGAACTGATACTTCTGGTACAGCATGTGAAGATGTAGTGTTGCCATTGTGTCCACCATTGGGGATGTTTGAGGGTGCTTGCTGGGTCTGTGCCTGGGGAGCTCCTGAGACCCCTGTTGTATCCCCGGGTCCGTCCGATGAACCGGCTTGCTGGCCTCTCGAGGCGAGCAAGCGGGAAAGGATCCCATGCAATGGTGGGATTATCTCGAAGGTCTGTGGGGAAGGGAAAGGTACTGTTTGCGGTGCTGGCGTTGGCGCTTCTTTGAAGGGCGTATCGGGTACAGGGGATTTCAGCAGCGGAGTGTCTACTGGCGGGGATCGAGAAGTCATTGTCGGTAACGTTGACTAAAAGGATCCCGAGGAAAGGTATCTGAAGGACGAGTAAATCCCGGCTGGGGTAAGTCTTTAGGGAAGAGTCGGAAGAAATACCTCGTATATCCGCTCCTGTGGCCGCAATACATGCTTATATCAGCAAATACGCTCCTGGCACCCGGTGACGGTGACGTCGGGGCCCTGCCCCTCCTTCACCGGCGGCCTTTTTTTCTGCTTTCGTGGTCTGATTCCCCTTCGTTCGATATCTTCTCTTCTAAACATCTGTCTAAAGGTAAGCAGCTTAGTGGGTTTATTGTTAAATTTCTTTTGGTTCGTCAATTGATCAGTGTTAATATAATTCTTAACTCTAGGTGTGATCCAATCACGATAACAAACCCCACTATGGCTGACCAAAAAGTTGCCTTGAGTATGTGCCACCCAGGTCCTCAAAAGATATACCGGCTAATGTAAGCCTTATAGTTGTGATTGATGGCTGGGGTATTGCAGGCCCCGACTCCCCACCCCAGGGAGATGCCATCGCCGCGGCGGATACTCCATACATGTCCGGCTTCGCTGAGCCCAACTCCAAGACCGCCCAGGGCTACGCCGAGTTGGATGCCTCTTCGCTCGCTGTTGGTCTGCCCGAGGGTCTGATGGGCAACAGTGAGGTCGGTCACCTGAACATTGGTGCTGGCCGTGTTGTCTGGCAGGACAGTGTTCGCATTGACCAGACCCTCAAGAAGGGCGAGATGGGCAAGGTGCCCAGCGTTGTCAAGTCTTTCACCCGTGCGAAGGAGGGCAATGGACGCCTGCACCTTCTGGGATTAGTCTCTGATGGCGGTGTTCACTCCAACATCACTCACTTGTTCGCCTTGCTCCAGGTCGCCAAGGACATGCAGATCCCCGAGGTTTTCATCCACTTCTTCGCCGATGGACGTGATACCGACCCAAAGAGCGCCGAAAAGTTCATGCAGCAGTTGCTTGAGAAGACGCAGGAGATCGGCATTGGCGCGATTGCCACCGTCGTGGGCCGCTACTACATCATGGACCGCGACAAGCGCTGGGAGCGTGTTGAGGTTGGCCTCAAGGGTCTGGTCACTGGCGAGGGAGAGGACAGCTCGGACCCGGTGCAGACCATCAGGGAGCGCTATGAGAAGGGCGAGAACGATGAGTTCCTGAAGCCCATCATTGTCGGCGGCAAGGAGCGCCGTGTCCAGGGTACGTGTGGTCCGAGCCCGAAAGGCAATGCCATGACAACTAATCGAGCCTGTATAGATGACGATACCCTCTTCTTCTTCAACTACCGCTCGGATCGTGTCCGTGAAATCACCCAGCTGCTGGGCGACCATGACCGTTCCCCGCGTCCCGACTTCCCCTACCCCAAGAACATCTCTCTTACCACCATGACCCAGTACAAGACTGACTACACCTTCGATGTTGCTTTCCCCCCGCAACACATGGGTAACGTACTGGCCGAATGGCTCGGCAAGAAGAACCTCCAGCAGTGCCACATCGCTGAGACTGAGAAGTACGCTCACGTCACTTTCTTCTTCAACGGTGGTATCGAGAAAGATTTCCCTGGCGAAGTGCGCGATATGATCCCTTCGCCCCGAGTCGCTACCTACGATCTTGACCCAAAGATGAGCGCAGCTGCTGTCGGTTCCAAGATGGCTGAGCGCCTTGGCGAGAACAAGTTCGACTTCGTCATGAACAACTTCGCCCCTCCTGACATGGTTGGCCACACTGGCGTGTACGAGGCTGCCATCCAGGGTGTCACTGCCACTGACAAGGCCATTGGCGAGATCTATGAGGCTTGCAAGAAGAACAACTACATTCTGTTCATCACCGCTGATCACGGGTAGGTTATTTTGCGAAACAGGACCACTCACATCAAGAGAATTGTTAGTTAACCCACACTTGCAGAAACGCCGAGGAGATGCTCAACGAGAAGGGCACCCCCAAGACCTCTCACACCCTTAACAAGGTTCCCTTCGTTATGGCGAACGCCCCTGAGGGCTGGAGCCTCAAGGAGGGCGGTGTCCTGGGTGATGTTGCGCCTACCGTTCTCGCTGCCATGGGCGTCGAGCAGCCCAAGGAGATGACCGGTGCCAACCTGCTGGTCAAGTCTTAGATAAATTTTCCCGCACATAGATGTTTGATTATGAATCAATGAATAGAATTTTGTCGATACACACATGGTCTTCCTTTTGCTTTTGGAGTATCAGAGGTCATCCATCCGCTAGCTTCTTTGAGCGTGCTTTTAAATGGTTTTCTTAGGTGTATTCGCATGCCACTTTTGATATTTTTTTTTGGAATACCTTGGCAGAGTTTTTGAATACGTAACCCGGAGACATCAATAAAAGATCGAAAACATAAAGCAAGAAAAACCGACGTAAGCTACATATGTAGCTAGGCTTCATCGTGCGAGTATGTCGATTGATCCTGGGTCAGAATGATTGACACTATCAGATAATTTCCACATTTAAAGACCAATTGATCACTTTTGACAGGATTGTATTAAGATTTCGCGGGTATATCTTTAATCTGATCCATGCGCTGTTCTGGTGTCAGGCACCTGCACAGATCATACATTTCCAAGGTATCCCGACTCAATTGGGATTTGGTTTTCAATGCCCAGGCATTCTTCGAGATCTCCTACCTCCAAAATATGGTACACAGCTGCATAGCGGATGTACCAAATCACGGTGAACCGGTGGAGGGTTGGTCCCATGCGACGTTAGCTTCGTAGCTCGCACGCCACCTATTGCATCTCCGGGTGATATATCCTTCTTCGCCTGCGGGTTCTGAGACATTTTCACTTTATGCGGAGGCCGAAGCAGCAGCAGCCTGCTGTTGAGCCTGGCTTTGGAGTTGGATGAGCTGAGTGAGGGGTTAGAATATGCATATGGTGGGGAGTGGGTTGCAGTTGGATGCGGGCGGTTTACCTCTGAGCGCATCTTTTCGCTCTTCTCTTGTGTCGCATTAATCTCGCCTTCAATTCGCTTGCTGTAGATTCTCAGTCAGCACATACTTCCGTTGGTTCACAGCGGCCAAGGTAGTAGCACTGACATCTCCTTCTCAATGAACTCCAACCGACCGTTGACGGCCATGGTGGCTTCAGTCTTATCCTGCTTCAGCAACACCGGGCCAACGAGCTTGTAAATGTTGGCTTCATCGTCCAGCTGGGCGAACTCGGTCTGCACGCCTTCGTTCTCTTGCTGCTGCGATTCGAGTTTCTGGCGGGCATCGACCAAAACCTCAAGCTCTGGATGGGCAGGAAAGGTTAGCAACTATTGTTGCGATCAATTAAATATATAGACATACCAGTCTGCAGTCCCTGGAACTCCTCCGAGAGTGTTTGAAGCTGTTTCTGGGCGTCCATGGTGAATTTGGAGGTGAAGTGGGAGGAGGGAAAATCAATGGATCCCGCCCGTAAACAACTTCCACACTTACTTTCCCCTCCAATTCCCATCAACACTCGGTCCTAGGGCTGTTTTGCACTTCTTTTATTCTACACCAAGGAATCTTCAAGTTTTCTCTTCTAACAACTATCTGCCTGTCCCTCCAGCCTTGGCCCATTGCCCCAACCCTTGCTCCCCTCTCCCCGCTTTATCACATCTGCCTCCGCGGTCGACTCGCTCCCTCTACCCCAGACAGCACACGCATTACCCATCATGAGTAATACGGATTTCCTGGGGCGGGCGATCGATACGGTCAAGAAGGCAATCGAGAATGACAACGATGGCGAGTACGAAAAGGCTTATCAGATGTATTACTCCGCACTGGAGTTGTTCATGCTGGCTTTGAAATGGGAGAAGAACCCGAAATCGAAGGAGATGATCCGCTCAAAGGCCGGCGAGTATATGGATCGGGCGGAGAAGCTTAAGAACCACTTGGCTGAGGACCGGAAAAAACCGAGCGCGGTTGGCGCAAATGGAAAGGTGGCGCAAGGCAGTGGGAAGGGAGGGTATGTACTCGACTTCTTTGACAAGCGTGCCTCGCTCTAGCACCTCCCATATGTGTGATATACAGTGTTGGCGAGTTAGCTATTGGCCTAAGTTATCCCGCTAATAACACTGGGTCGTATAGGAAGGAAGATGACGATAACGAAGATGCGGATGCAAAAAAGCTTCGATCGGCGCTTCAAGGAGCTATTCTATCGGACAAGCCGAACGTGAAGTGGGAAGATGTTGCTGGCCTAGAAAACGCCAAGGAAGCATTGAAGGAAGCAGTCATCCTTCCCATCAAGTTCCCCCATTTGTTCACTGGCAAGCGCCAACCCTGGAAGGGTATCTTGCTCTACGGTCCTCCCGGTACGGGAAAATCTTATCTTGCCAAGGCGGTAGCAACAGAGGCAAACAGCACATTCTTCAGTGTCAGCAGTAGTGACCTGGTCTCGAAGTGGATGGGTGAGAGTGAAAGGTGAGGCAACGTCTTCATCGACAAGGGCTTCGAGAGTTGCGTACTAATAGCGTCTAGACTCGTGAAGCAGTTGTTTAACATGGCTCGTGAGAATAAACCCGCGATTATCTTCATCGACGAGGTAGATGCGCTATGTGGACCCCGTGGCGAAGGAGAATCCGAGGCCTCACGGCGTATCAAAACCGAATTACTTGTGCAGATGGACGGTGTCGGCAAAGACTCGAAGGGAGTGTTGATTCTGGGCGCTACCAATATCCCCTGGCAACTGGATGCTGCTATTCGGCGACGATTCCAGCGAAGAGTACACATCAGTCTTCCCGACGTCAATGCACGAATGAAGATGTTCATGCTAGCTGTGGGCTCGACGCCGTGTCAAATGACCCAGACCGACTATCGCCAATTGGCCGATCTGAGTGAGGGCTACTCCGGTAGCGATATTAGTATTTGCGTGCAGGATGCACTGATGCAACCAATCCGCAAGATCCAAGGAGCAACACATTATAAGAAGGTATGTATGCTCAGTTCGCACCGTTTCACTTCACGCGACTGATCAGGCTCTACTGCAGGTACTCGTCGAGGGTGCAGAGAAACTCACGCCTTGCTCACCAGGGGATGTGGGCGCAATGGAAATGAGCTGGCTTGACGTCGATGCAGATCAGCTTCTGGAGCCCCCACTCACTCTGAAGGATTTCATCAAGGCAGTTAAGAACTCTCGGCCAACCGTTAGCGGAGAGGATCTCACGAGGAATGCTGAATGGACCCAAGAATTCGGCAGTGAAGGCGCCTGATCGTAGCTTCCGAAATGATCGATATTCCTCCCATCATGGCCTCCGAAATGTGAATCTTTCCGCCTCAGTTGATCAACAGCATGAAATCCTGGCTCGTTGGCTTGCCAAGAGAGGACAAAAGCTGAATATCTCATGCCCTTGCCCATAGTCTCCATTTTCTCATGCGCTTTATTTGTGTCCATGTCAGTGCTTGCTTCATTTCGGATTCCTGTGTTTTTTTGGTGGGTGTCTCTGAAGATTTTGGTGTTTAGAAGCGTTTCCTCAATTACTTTTGGCAATGGCGAGGCGTTGGCTGAGCAAATATTTCATGTGTCTATCCCCGCGAGTGTCTGTCATAGGAAGGCGTGCGAGTAGCATACATACTGCTTTGAAAATTACAGACTTGCTAGGTTCTTTTGCCATTGCTTGTAGGTGCAATCAATGCCAATCAAGCCTCAATTTCTGTACTGGCAGGCGCTACATAAATGAATAATAGTTCTTGGATCATCAAACTCCTCGCTGGTATGCCACTATGCACAAATGATTCGAACAAACCGGCACAAAGCCAGCCCTAAAACACCCAATAACAAAGTGAATGGAGACAGAAACACAGCACAAGTCGAAAGGAAAACTAGTATACTTGCAAGACATGTCGGGGGAATCTCTCATGACAGAAGGTCGACGCTGGAAGAACAAGAGACAAAATCACAACGAATGACATAAACATAGAGCCAACCTCCAGGCTTACTGGCCGAGCAAGCTCTTCTTCGAGCTATCACGGCGCTTGAGCATTTCAGTCTTAGCACGCTTCAAGCCCTCGCCCAGTTTCTTGGTCCGCTTCCAGTCACTGCTCATCTTTCGCATGCGAACAGTGGCCCTCACGAGAGACATGGCGGACTTCAGTTTATGGCGTGGAGTGCGGACAGGAACTCGGTCGCGGGCCTGTACGCCCATCTCGGAAATCATGCGGAGATCGGCATCGTTGCTGTTGGTAACTTGTTAGCTATGTTGCAAATAATGTTGGATAGAAATGCGGGTACGAACCATGCAACTCGGACGCGTTCACCAAGTTCCATCAAGCCCTTGCTCCAGGCAAGATCACTGCGGAACTTTTCCTCACGCTGCAGGCGAGCGCGAAGCCAGATGATTTCTTTGCCCAGGCCTCGGATCTCTTTCTCATGTTTGGTTTTGTTGGTCGACTTACAAAGGGAGTCTTTCTCGAGGATTTCCTCGTGGCGTCTTTGTAACACATCGAGATTTTTGGTTGCTGCTTCAGCCTCACGCTTGTGGGCATCTCGTTCTTCGCGAATCCGGCGCACATGTGTCTTCAATTCGCTCAGGCGCGCTTCCCGTTCGGAAAGCTTCAGAGCTAATGATTCAGCTTCGAGCGTGGAGGACCTAAGGAGCTCATGGAAGTCCTTTTGGTCTTCTTCTTTCATGACGGCACGTTCTAGCTCTCGGTTCTTCGTGTTCACCTTCTGGAGGGACCGGTGTGCTTCAGCCACTTGTTTTCGTAGACTGCGTAGCTCTTCATGAAGCTTGTTTGATGGAGAATTATGTGGGGAGTGTGACTCGAATTTGTTCATCATCGCATCATGGAGATCCTTCTCCAATTCCTCGACTCGTGACTTGTAGCTTTGCGCGGAAGATCTCTGCTTGGATTCACGCTGAAGGAGGGCCTTTTCGCGTTTCCTAGCCTCCTCCAGGCTGCGTCGAAGTAGAGAGAGGTCCCCATGTGTACCAGATTGTTCATTCTCCGACACAGACTGCTGCTGCTCAAGAAGAGCCTCCAGTTCTTGGGCGCGACGCTCCAGGCGCTGTACTTTCGTCTTTGCCGAAGTAAGTTCTCGGTCTCGGTTACCAGAGCCAGCAAGCAATTTATCTTGAAGGCGATCGATTTCAGCCGACAGGCGACCCTCTTCTGCTGCAAATCGTTCACTTTCGGAGACGAGTTGGTCCTCAAGGGATGATTTGGCGTCTCGCAGTACTTTGAGTTCGTTGTCAAGTCTTGTTACAGTCTTGCGTAGTGCAAGTTTGTCGCGGTCAAACCGGGTTGGGTCATCTGCGTTCTGGAGTCGGTCGAGTTGAGCTTGGAGCTCAATGCGTTCAGCCTCAATCTCCTGCGCCGAAGCCTTCAGGTCAAATATCTCGACATGAGCATTTGCAAGCTGGTCACGGAGCTTCTGTCTCTCGGCGATAGACTTTTCCAGGTTTTTGTCCAGGTCAGATGACCCATTTTGTCGACCTTTAGCAAGTTCTTGCTCATCCGCCAGACTCGATTGTAAAACGATCACCTCGTCTTCCAGAGCTCGCACCTTGTCTGCAAGTGCTTGCTCTTCGCGCCTAGATACCCGAGCATCCTGCTTGGTCGCAAGGAGCTCGTCTCGTCTTTCATCAAGGTCGCGTCTTGTCTTATCGAGGTCGTTTTTGAGATCTTGGATTTGACGATCCAGCATAGACTTTTCTTGCGCGTAGCGCTTTTTCTCGCTATCAATGGCCTCTTGTAGCCTGGACTCCTTCCCAGAGTATGTGCTACCGGCTTCCTGAAGCGCGTCGATAGTGCGCTTCAAGTCTGCCGCTTGGCCTTCTGCCCATGCTTTCTCTGATTGGAGAGTCCGCTTGCTGCTTTCCCAACGACTCTGATCGACTGCAAACCGGCCCTCCTTCTCCTCGATCTCGTGGTGAAGGTTTTCGATCTCCTCTTGCAGCCGTTCAACTTCCGCCTTGTGCTGCCAGCGAATGTTATTCCCTTCATCCTGAGCGCGAGATGTGGCGTCTTGAACCGCTTTTTGAAGTTCGCGGATTCTGGATTGTGCACGGTCGAGTTCGATTTGTAGTCCTCCCGATTCACCGGTCAGCGCATTATGGCGAGTTTGAAGAAGTTCCTTTTCGTCCGTTCCACGCTGGAGTTCGTCCATGGCCTCCTGTAGTCGAGCAGAAGTAGCTTTTAGGTCTTGTCGGGCTTGATCGCGATCACGTCTGGCCGCAGCAAGGTCCTCAGCCAGGTGGCGGGCGTTCTCTTGTAGGCCATGTTGAATAGTTTGATACCGCTCTTCGAGGAGAGTCGTATGGTTGGTTTTACTCTCCAATTCTGTCCTCAGGGCATCGTTCTCTCGTTGCAGGTCGCGTATCTCTTCTTCGAGCTTTTCGGTCCTGTCCTCCATTTGCCGGCTCAGTCCCTTGGTGGTGAAGG